AAGATACCTTATCCCCCTTCTGAATTTACTAGCTTTGCAATTGAATGATCCCCAAATCTCGCATCCATATAGGAGAATTGGTTTAATTGTGTGATGAAACACATATAGGCATGTTTTAATTTTGGGATTCATTGAAAGAAATTTTTTTTGTAGTTTGAAATATGCTTTTAAAGCCTTTTTATATAAATCACCTTGAGCAAAGGAGAAAATGCCTGATGCACTGAAGTATATACCAAGATATCTACAATGTTGTACACATTCAAGGTTATATTCTTGATATTTAAAAATATATTTGATATGTCTGCCCGCTTTCTTAAAGACCAGAATTTTTGTTTTCTGTGGATTTAGGTAAGACACCAATTTTGGCAGTATTTCTCTAAGATGTTAAGCTTGGACTGTAATCCTTCTGCTGAGGTAGATAATAAAATAATGTCATCTGCATACATCAAACAATGTATAGGGGAGTCATTTATGAAAACAGGGTCCATTGATTTTTCAAGGTAGTTGGGAAGATCATTTATGAAAATCTTAAACAGGTTTGGGCTAAAATTATCTCCTTGTTTAACCCCTAATTTTATTGGAAAGAAATCTGTTACACTGTTTTCAATTCGTATGCAAGACCTGCTAACTTTATACATTTGTTTAATAATATTATAGAATAGTGAGCCTACTCCAGCTTCAAGTAGCTTGATTTTCAGTCCTGTGTGAATAACAGTATCAAAAGCTTTCTGGAAGTCAACAAAGCAAGCAAACACTCTACCTTCCTTTCTTTGACAATATTCATCAATTATACATTTGAGAATAAACATATGATCGGTGGTTTTAGCACTCTGTGTAAACCCCACCTGACACTCATGAATTATTTTGTTTTTGTTAAAAATCATCAAGCCTTTTATTTAATACGCTATTGAATAGCTTACCAATGGCACTAGTTACAGCTATACCTCTATGGTTGTTTGGATCTGATATATAATTTGCTTTATATATAGGAACTATGAACCCATCTGCCCACTGTTTAGGATAATTAATGCTAAACAAACAAGCAATAAATAATTTTTGAATACATGGAATCAGAACTTGTTGGCCACTTTTTAACATATTGTTAGTTAGGCTATCAAGACCAGGCGCTTTATTCCATTTTAGGTTTGAAATTGCTTTCTGAATTTCATTTCTGGAGATGGAATTATCTAATTCGTTAAAAATCTTTTGCTTTTCTAGAGTGTCAAGTACATTTTCCAGATGTATAATGCGATCCTTAAAATTGCCTTTGATCTCATTAAGTTTTTGAAAGTGTGATACCCAAGTTGATGGATCAACGGCAGATATATATATATATATATATATATATATATATATATATATATATATATATATATATATATATATATATATATATATATATATATATATATATATATATATATATATATATATATATAGGGGAAATTCTTTTTTAGAAAATTCTTCTCCAGAACATCAATGCTACATTGATTTGGTTTGGGCTAGTGTTGGGATAAAATATTCTTATAGAGGGGAAACAATGATCCTTTTAATCAACATCAAGGCCAAATTGACTCAGGTTTATTGCCCTCAGTCATCTTGTGTATTTCATATTTGACCTTGTTACCATAGATGATTTATTTAGAATTAGATTTGATTGCTTGTTTTTCCCCCTCAGAAACATTCAGTTTACACTTATGTATACATATTTTGAAAAAAAGAGATGTGATTTCTACCATGAATGAAAAGTTATCAAGGTAAATATATACAAAATATAATTAAAATACAACATATCACTCATTCAAGTCAATTTTATATTTAAATATTTTATTTTATGATCGTTGATCATATGTATATTAAAGTATACAAGCTTTGAAAACAGAACTTTCAAAGTATTATAATTAATCAAGGTACAGTTTATTAAAGCAGAGTGTCAAGTAATTGAACTATACATATATTATAAACAACTAAATGTTATATGTAGTCATACTATGGACGAAATGTCAATTTAGACGTACATATCTGTGTGTGTATGGTTTTAGGAAAATACAAGGAAGGTTCTACATGCTTTTATCACGAAGATGCAGATTTAAAGTACGTGTAAGGTCTTATAAACATGACAAACTCGAAGATTTTACTTATTCTAATGACGGCCGTTTAATTTTGCAAGAAATTACATACACAAAAATTATTACTAGTACATGTAAATAGTGTTTCATATTTTTTTTTCAATAGAAATACGTTTTCCTCCTTCAGGACATTGAAATCATTTGGACAAAGAAGAGAGCCTTGTTTTGGATATAAAACTGTGTTTAAAACTCAAAAGATCAATGCTTAACTTAAAGTGTATGCATAAACAGCTTGAATTTTAACCGATACTTTGATATCATGAATTGTAGAAATCGTACATTTTTACCACTATGTGTACATTTCATTTGATACTTGCTCATTTTAAATACAATATGTTTAATTAGAATATCTTAAACAAAGCAGATTTTTCAAGAAGTCTGTGTTTTCTTTCATTTCCATCTTGACTTAATACTACAGAAACCACGTCATAATTGATCGTGACATTTGTACACATATACATGTAGTACATCTTGAAGTATATTTTAATTAAACAAATATATAGTAGGTGAAACACGTTAATAAATGAGAAAAAAAGATTTAGGTAGGTGTATATTACTGCAGGCAAAATATTCTAAGGTACTTAAAATATTTTCTGTTAAATACGTACATCAGAGCACCATTAAATAGGAAAACAAATATGCATTTTCCGGAATTACAATCACTCCTTCCGCCTTGCATAAACTTAACAATTTACTAAGTGCTTAAAAAAATATCAACTTAATAGTATTTTTTCTCAGCTGTGACTCAAGGGTTATGACGAAATAATGAAATCGTAAGTCATTAAAATTAGACAGAAAAACTAGAGAAAGCTTGTTGCAAAGTAACAAGTAGGTCTCCCTTTGGAGTTGTGTGACGTACAGTAGAAAACCTTGACTTTGCTCAGACGACCTTGAGTCAAGATCCTAACACAGTCACAGTTTACAAAACATGTTAGTTTCAAGTATGAATTCTGTGATGTTTCTCCATTACAAGATTTGGTCAGCACAGGAATATTATTATTTTGGTAGTATTTGTACTTGACAAAATGACCTCGGGTCAAGATCATGTCACATTCCCAGGTCTTAAACAATCTTTGTCTGAAGTATTTACTTCCAGTGTTTGACAATGACATGTAGAAAGTAGGATGAACAGTAAAGTAAACGATTTTTACATTTTCTCTACCAGTAACCTTGAACGTGTCCAAATATCACAATCTATAGTCAAAGCAATATTTTTTTTGTCAAAAATAAGCTTATAATCTTTCTTTTTGAAAGTCATGTCCAAGGCATAATTGCAGAGATAGAGAGACAATATCTCCAATCTTTGTTTATGGTGGGGGGGGGGGCATAATTAGGATACGCTATATTGATTATGAGCTCTCTCAGCTAAAGGGGCTTCTTTTGACAGATATCAATAGAAAAGTCTTATAAAAATTAATTTTTCGTGGTAGAAACATCATGGAAAGACATTGCTGTTTTTAGGAATGGGGTACTGAGGTGACCTTACAGAAGCACTTTTTTTTTCGTTGACCTGCGATCATACCCTCGGGGTCAATGGAATGCTAAATATCGATCCTGGTGTGGTTTTCAATGCTTACAGATAACTATAAATATTCCTTTTTTTTAAGTATCCCCACGTTTAGAATCCTGGAGATCTAGATAGGAAAGATGGTTTATTTCACACCATCCCTCGATTCTAACATTTTGTCCTCCAGTCATATTTAATTGAGTTCACTTCAGTAATTGAATGTATCTATGTTTTACTTCATGTGTTGGTCTTGGAAACCCTGCTTCCGCTTTTCCTTTCCAATAATGAATGTGCAAATATAAATACCTAATTTCTTATCTGTGAATAATTATATACATATACATGTATATATAATAACATAAGAACGACTCATTCGTTCATGTATTCTTGCATAAAATGTTATTTTGTTAGTCGTAAGAACCTGGGGGTAGGGGTTACATGGGGATGCCCCATCCCCGTTCTAATAATTTTGCCGATTTATAGAAAATATAGCGCTTTTATGCCCTCTCGGTAATAGCGTCTTTTTTTTTTAAATTGCTTGATAGTGTCATCCAAACGTAAAAGATTTAGCTGTGTCCCCTTTCTTTTAATTAGAGACGATACATATCAAAAATACATGAATTCCAAGCTTATCATACCTATTTTCCAATATCTGATATCGTTTTCCGTACGCGTTCTTCTAAAGTTTTAGATATTGGCGATCTACGGTAAATAAAGGTATTCTGTAAAACGTTACAAAAGGAGAAACTGATATCAGATATTGGAATATGGATATGATGAACTAGACATTTTGGTACTTGTGATATGTTTTCAATTTTTTAACTTAGAAATCATATACGTAAAGCAAATGATTTATCTTTACATTCATATATTCCTTTGGCAGCTTTTTTCGGGAGGGGTAGTCTTGTCTTTAGCTTAATTTCTTTTTTGAATCTGATTCAACAGAGGGTATTTATCCCTCTGTTCACTCACATAAAACGTTGCTAAATTAATGCTTATGATTTTCCAAACAAATATATTTTATATGTAGATTGCATACGATTTTAGCATATTAATAAAACAAGACAATTAAAAAAATCAATAAATTTCTATTCTATCTAGAGTTATATCTGAAAACCTTGCAATTGATAAATTTTTTAAGTTATCTTGACTCTCAAAAATAAAAATAAACTGTTGATAGAAATCATTCCGAAAACACAGCTAACCTTAAGTGTAGAATCATCACAATTGTAATATAATCAACATATTAAAAGAAATATGTAATACAAAGAAACCAAACTGAGCAAAAGTTAAGCATTATAGTCCTTATATAGAAAATAATACTATTTGTCCACGAACATTCTCTGCAGCAATCGTTTGTTTCACTAGTGTTGTTGCTTCTGTGGTCTTAACCTGTGGTCATCAAATAACCTGTTATGTATTTTTAAGGTTTATTTGATTTTGAGCGAACCACAAAGAAATATCTTATCTTACAAAGAACATTCACATTGGACGATAAGGAATCACTTAGCAAAGTGAAATATCACAAAAATATTGTATGACTGGCACAGTAAGTACATCAATCATTAAAAATAATACAAAAAATCTGTTCATAACTAACATATAATCATGTCTATACCAGTGGATAGGTTGAAACAAAATGAAGATTAATCGAGATATTAAAGTGTTTCTAAAAACAAATACAAAGACAAAGTAACAAGTAACTTTCATCACCAGTATTCTTAAAAAACAGAACAACTTTCTGTGCACTTCACCAACACTATCTGAACATAAAATAGTTGAGTTGGGGTTGTGCATCGCGAAATTAGAAACCCCAGTAATAACAAAAATTAGCATAGTGACCTTCATTGCTTTAAGCATTTTTAATTTATATTTGCAAATTGATTTTCTAAGAGGATATGGAAAATAAATAAGGTAAATGCACAAACAAAGGAATACGCAATACAAATTGAAAATTGTTTGCCCAGTTTGGTTTAAAATGTAATGTGAAACAATTCCTATTATAACCATTGCAATGGTAATTTTTTCTGAGAAATATAAAAGTAAATTTTCTGCATATAAACTACTGCGTATAGATATATTTTCCTTTCCTTCGGACACAAACAACTTTGCTAAACTACATAAGAATAAAGTCAATCTGTTCAATAAAAGAACAGTGAGGAAATGTGCATAAACCAAACAGCGAAAGTGGAGCAATTCAGAGTCACTGGCAATAGAATTAGGTTTCCAATTTACAGGAGATCCCATGCCAACACAAGTGTTACCTACAATTGACAGATAAAACCACACTATGAAAGAAAGAAACAGAAAACCCCAAGCCGTTAGATACAATGCTTCCTTTTTTATAAAGCTTCTTGTTTTTGGACATGCTAACAGTTTTTCTCCCCTCTCAACTTCACTTTCTTCAATAGAAAGAGAGACAGTTCTGAAATGATCTATAGGAAGGTATCCATTATTACATCGAATGCGCGGATCTGCCCCATGCCGTAACAGTGATTCCACTGCGTCAAGACAGCTCGTCACATTTGTCATCCGTATTATCATGGAATGTAATGGAGTATTCCCTTTACTGTCAATGGTATTTACGCCACTCCTATAGCTTACAAACATCCTAGTTGCAGCAGGGATGAATTTAAATGTCACAAAAAATAGTAGACATTTCTTTAAAGACGGGAACAGTGTTAACTTTTCTTCATGGAATTGATCTAAGTTAGCACTTAGAAGAGTTTCAACCATTTCTTTACTTCTTGCTAAATGAAGAGGAGTTCTATCCTTGATATCTCTGAGAAAAGGATTGGCACCGAATTTCATTAACGTTTTTGCTGCATTTACGGCATCACATGAGGCGGCTATATGAAGCAAGGTTATACGCAGGTAATTTCCATTAAAATTTGCCAAAAGACATCTTCTTGTTACAGTTCTGTATCTACCTTGAAATATTAGGCTATGCAAACTTTGTCTTTTTATTTTGAATATTTTATGTATCTTTTGTATGTCATTTTCATAGATCGCATTACAGATCTCAACGAAATCTCTCAACATAGAATTACCCGTAGAAACTGTTTTCAGATCTTTCAGAAACAAACCCAGTTGGTCGTTTATTATACTTTTGTTTTTGAATAACCCAGCCAATGGAAATGCGATTCTGAGATCATTCCTTGCTCTGCCTGACACTAAGAGCGATTGAACAATCTTTGAATTTTTGTTTAGCAATGCCTCTTGTAAAATAACGTGTGAGTTGATCGGTAAGTCAAAATGAAGAAATTTATCATAGATTACAGCACCGTAGCGCAACAAAACAGAAACAGCTTGTTCATTATTTCTTAATACTGCAATGGCCAACGGGGTTCTTAACAGGAAATCACAATAATTAGCATCACTTCCTCTACTTAACAGCAAGATTAACATTTCAATTTTGTTAAACCAGGATGCCACAAAGGAAGCAGTCCAACCAAGAACCTCGTCTGTCTGATCCACATTAGCTCCTTCCTCTATCAGCACATTAGCCATTGCACAATTATTTGTTTTTGCGATTTTGCACAGCAAAGGAATACCATATTGGTCGCAGGATTTAACATTTCCACCTTTGGAAATGAGTAATCTAACTATGTCTATATTTTCACCTAATACAGCTAAATGTAAGAGGTCAGTTACATGAACTGAAGTATATCTTTTAAAGAAATATCTGAGTCTACTCCTTGGGCCTTTATAAATGTGATTAAACAGGGAAAAGCAGCCTGTTGCAACTAACCAGTGAGTGAAGATGCTGTTTTTGTCTTGTAAGACTTCTAGCATAACATGCGTATTTGTGTTTGTGATATTTCTGAACTTTCTTCCAACTTGTTGCAATGATAATGTTAAAGAATCTGTACAAGGCAAATGTTCAAAATCTTTTAGGGAAAGGTTACTTTTCTGGAGGTAAGACAGAAAATAATTCACATAATCTCTGCTTTGTAGTGGCTCGCTGAGAAGAACATCACGAAATTTTCCGTTCATTATTTCTGTCTGAATTCTCTTCGCAAAAGCATCATAGGATGAAGGTTTAAGGATTAAAACCTCTTGATCGACTTCGTGACATTCCTGAAGCACAACCCTTTCTCTTATAAATTCACGTTTACAACACTGAAACATTATATCTGGAAAGCACGAGCCAAAATGACAAGCGATTGTTTCTTCAAGCCTATCATGAATGAAGAAAAAGGGATTTTCTGATTGAACAAAATTACCTGATACAGATAGCAGATGCTTATAAAGGCGCTTTCTTGGAATTGATTCGGGTACTTCGCATGCTTGCAAAATTAGCAAGAAATCATTCTTTCTTTGACATTCACAAGTGATATCATAAAAAGATTGTAAAGTTTTAGTTTCAAAAATCATGTTCAACACCAAAACACAATAAACCTCCTTATTTTTCTTTTGCAGCCGATCTAACTCTTCTCTAAAAATAATTGTTGGATTGGAGAAAAACTTAGCTTTCCTCTTGAAGAATTCAGGATTCGAGAAAAACAAATCACATAATAAAGGAAATGCGTATTGGCAGCGACAAATCCTCTCAATTTCATCAGTATCGATATCATCCTGTTTGTTTCGATGTGTCATATAATTTCTGAACATTTCTTTCTTTTCCATAAGAGACAGGACTAAATCATTTGAATCAAGATCAACAACTGTTGAATTAAAAACCGTTGAAATAGATAATTCATTTATGTCGTTCTGTAATTGTCTTCGCAAAGTACATAAAAGTTTTGCGCTGTTATCCTTAAATATCAATTCAAGACGATTATTTATTCTTTGCCACGATTCCAAAATCACATCATCCACTCTGTATTTACCAACGATATCATCGATAATTAAAAGCTGCTTTCGAGTACTGAATCTTTGAAAAAGAATGTCGCTAGCATAGCTTACCGGAATTATTTCAAATCCTTCTTTCTCAAGCAAGAGAGATACATATTTCATTGTCGCTGACTTTCCAGAACCAGAATTTCCTACGATCATGATGGTGCTATTGCTTCTAATTTTTTCCAATACTTCTTTCGTACCCCTGGTTTTATAAAAATCCTTTGCATAAGCCCTCCATTTCTCTACTAAATTTATCGTATTTTCTGTAAAAAAAATATTTAAAAAATTAGATTTTTAAAATCATTGTTAAATATCAAATACTGTTGGTGCCTTCGAACGGCATTAGTCCAAGTAAATAACACTCACACACACACAACCTCACGAACACACACATGTCATGAAGGTTATTAGGTTATTAGCAAAACAATTATTTAAAAAGTGTGTAAATCTGAAGACATATATAAACGTTGATAACATTTTTGATTTGATAAAAAAAATCCAAGGCATATTCCAATCATAATTATGCAGAACGTTAGCTGTTGCCACTTCGAGAATATGAGGTTTGCCCTAGCGATTGCAATGTTTTTGACTGATGTCATTTTTCTAATATATAAATCATTTTCCATCATTTATACAACCACTTTGCTCGAACATTAAATAACCCCACTACCGAGCAGTTTAGTGATTGCAAATGCTTGCTTATTCTTTATTGCATTTTGTTAAGCGCCGTGAGAGTGTACTGCTAAGACCCATATTCCTTATGAAAAATTTGAGCACATTAAACCCGAATTTCTATCCAAAATTCAATATGTTTCCGAAAAATGATATTCCACCTGAACTGATCTACAATAAGACCATACTGGATTACATTACATACCCGTGTCAAACTGGACCATCAAGGTGCAGGGCTCAACAAATATTCCGATAGTAGGCTTACATGACAAGTGTCAGAAAACGGCAGTTTTCGCAGGTACGTTTTGTTTCACTTATTCATTTACGTTTTCATTGAATGTAATTGTACAAACAAAAACAATATTATGTAGGCACTCTAACAGGAGATTTTATACCTGCTCATCTAATCTACAAGGTGAAAACTTCTGCATGCTACCCCTGCCTACGACTTTCCAATAGCTTGGCATATTACGCAAAGCACCAACCACTGGTTTAATAACATGACACAGCTTGAGTGAAATATATGGAGATAACGATCAGTATTAAAGTTCAAAAGCCCATTAAACATTACAAAATAGGTACAGAGCAAACACGGACCTCCAAAACATCAGAGGTGGGATCAGGCACCATGGAAGAGTGAGCATCCCCTTCCGACCGGTCACACCCGCCGTGTGCTCCTTGTCATGATCGGGAAATAGCGGAAAATCCGTCGATAATTCAGTGTGTAAATAATGGCCTAACAATTATTATGAAAAATGTCAGTCAGCATTTGACTCAATGATAAATTGTTTTTGCTGACAAGGTCATTGTATCGACCATAGAACTTACGAAATGTTGACTTTAAACGAGACTGCTGATATTCTTGTTTCATCAACTTGTTTGTCAAAAATTTACCTCGTTTTAGAAATTGTACATACGTAGAGCATGCTCTTGCATATCGAATCAACTGAGAGATATAAATCCCGTATGCAGGTGATGAAGATGTATTGCCGCATAAGTAAGGGAAGTTGACGATTGAAAAGTTAAAGTCATCACGTTTATCACAAAGCTTTATTGTTAGATTACCATTAACGTCTTTTTCAAGTAAAATATCCAAATATGAAACAGATGTGTCAGACTCTGTAGTATCTTTTATCTCAAGCTCACCGGGATATATCGTATCGACATAAGAATGGAAATAACCATTGTTAATTGACAATTAAGTACACGTCAAAGATTCACATGCCCCATATCCGAAAAAACAAGACTTAGACTTCCAGACTCACAAAAAGCATTATATATTTTTGATGTACTCGGGGCGCAAAATAATGTTTTAAAAAAATAGAATTTGCATTGTGTTTATACCCGCAAACTGCACTAATCGTTAGCAACCGATGGATCTGACAGTGTAAAAACTGTAAAAGAAAAATAGAAGGATTCCAAAAATTTTACGCATCACAAAAATCAAAGCAGCTAGAGAAAGGTAAAGCAGACAAAACGTTGACCCCCATTGTTTTCAGACTTTCATCTCTGAAGCCATTGTCTTCAGAATGGTTTGTACAAGTTCACGCTGAAATTAAACCCGACAAAAGGTTGTAAACAAAGGATTCGAAAAAAGGGGATTGCTGAAGCTGTTGGATACAAGTTCCCATCTTGAAAGACAGATCTCGAGCTTTCACATTTTTACTAGCGGTATTGATCAAAGAGCAATTAAATACGACTAGGTAAATGTCTGATACGTTTTCTAGTGATGAAGTTTTACTGTTACAATTTCATGCTTTAACTTTCAGTGTTTGAATGTGAAAATATTTTATCATTTTGACTTTCATTTTATGATACGAAAATAAACACCAATGGACCACAATGCTCACCTGAGTCACTTTGGCCCTGCTGTTCTGCATCAGCTTTTTTCCCAAAATACATGTACTTTTCTTTATTTTTGATCGCCTTTCGTGGCCCAACCCTGTATACCTGGCTGTGATTTGACCAAAAATGAATCTACACTACCAGAGGATGCTTCCATATTAATATGATTCATCTTAGATTTGCTCTCAAGGAGTTTTAAATATTTCCTATGTAATCCCTTTTGTGCCCCCCCCCCCCCCGGACTTCCAGAGGGTCATGATTTGAACAATTTAGAACCTACACTACCTCAGGAAGTTTCTTCGTAAGTTTGAGCTTTCATGGTCCTGTGGTTATTTAGAAAAAAAAAAAACATTTTGAAAGATTTTTCATATATATCTATGTTTAACTTTGATTTCCTCTTGTGGATCCACCCTACCTCAGGGAATATGATTTGAACAATTTAGAATCTACACTTCCTCAGGAAGCTTCCACATAAGATTCATCTTTTCTTCTCCAGTGGTTCTTGAGAAAAAACTTTTTTAGTGACCCATCCTATTTTTTCCCTTAATTGATTATGTCCTCTTGGAAGGAGGATTGTCCCTTCAATTTTAAGGATGTACATGTAGAATCCCCGTCACCCAGGAATGCTTTGTACCCACTTTGGTTAAAATTTGCCTAGTGGTTCCTGGAAAGAAGTTGAAAATGGGAAAAGTTTACAGACGGCGCAGCTCTGTTAAGGCTGCATAAAGGGGGCGGGGCCTAATTTATACGGGAAAAGTTTACTGTGACATCACACAAATATAGCAATTCCTCACAATATCAGAAAATGAAATAATTTGCGAATCTAAACTGCATAAGAGTAATGAACTACATCAAAACTTACCACTGCATTCATTTTTGTCGCTAGTTAAATCCCACACAGCAAGATATAAACAAGTCACTGATCGCAATGCACTTGTCGACATGACGTCATCATGGTAAAGTTTGACGCATTTTATGTGCAGTGAGAGGCGGATCAAGTAATTTTTTCACAGTGAAAAATGCATTTTATTATTAAACAGAATATTATTTGAAAATCTTAGGTAGACCATTAATACAAATCCGAAACATTTGTTCAGTGTCATTATTTAAAAACTATCGAGAGAATGTTTTGAATTAATTCTACCGTGTTTTGTCTACAGGGTGTGCATGATTCACGCCGAGGTGCCTCATGAAATCGCCTTTCCGCAAGAGCATACACTTAATAGATCTTGACCATTTTTTGAATATACATAATTGACATATTCCTTAACTTGAAAAGTGCTGCTGCTTTCCTGAAATCAATAGCATAACTTAATAAATACATAAAATACTTGGTGAAGGTCACACATACTTCGTCATTAGCAAGATAACATGAAATTTAAACTAATAAAATGCGAATTCTGTTTAAAGCAGCAGCACTTTCCATAAACTACAAGATATGTAGAAACAATCTATTACTTAAATTTTTAATGTTAACTAGGGTATGCCCTTGCGATATTGAAATTTGTTTGTGACCTACATACAGTACACATTACATGCATTTTTCACGTGACTATCAAATAACGTGACCAAACCAAATTCAGTACAGAGCGAGGTATACAATGTTATTTCAAAGAATGTTAAAGTCATAAGATAATATAGTACCTTTACAAAATTAAAATTCATTTTAAAAAGGTATGTATTTATGCACGTTTATATTCTGCTGATTTCTACGAAGTACGCCTCAACAGTGCTGCGGGACAGACAGCTAGCTAGCTAGCAAGACAGACAGCTAGACAGATGGACGGACGCCATACAACGGTTGATCGGAAAAGCTCAGGTGAACTAAAGGTTGTAATGTGCGAGTTTGGTTCTTTGAAGTATTTTATCCCTGAACATCCGATTTACCGTAAATGATTTTTTGTGGTATAATGCAACCGCAGAAATTAATTTGCTTCTTTAAGGGGGTCAAATTGCAGAAATTTCAAACCGCAGAAAATACCCGTTATACTGTACTTACTTTAAGGTATGTTTTTACTGTAAATACTCAAGGATGTCGTTACACTTCCTGGTTTGCAAAATATATATATGGTGCTGTAGGTTTACAGGAATTATTCTTCAAAAGCAGCTGAGTGGTCATAAACACACACAATAAATAATTATTTAACGATGAGAAAACATATTTTTCGAGTCATTTATTGGCATTCAAATACAACGAAATTAAGTAGTTTAAACAGAGTGAGATACGTTTGACGGTAAGAAATTGTTAAAAAAATGATCAATATAAAAGCACTTAAATTCTTTTCATTTTATCGTCGATAAAAAAAAATCCTACAAAGACATATCAGATAAACTTTTTATAAAGAAATAGGGCGTAAAAAGCGAGGACGATCCCCGCTATGAGACACTGTGTTTCTCAATTTTCAAAGTTCACGGGAAAGTTTCATTTTTCTAAAATTATGTTTTCAGTAATGTCATCTTCAACATATCTGATTAATTTATTTTATTGATTGACTTATTAATTGATAATTTTTTTTTTAAATTGACAGTTCAGCATATTGAATGGAAAATTGGTTTATTAGATTCAATAAATAATTTTTAAATATGAATGGGTCAAGTCTTCATTCTTCACTAAACGACGGAAAAGTAAAAGTAAAATTATTGTCATGTTTTAAAAACATGAAGTCTGAACACACTCTATATGAAAATCGAACTTTTCTGAAAAAAAAGTATGCTTCAACAAACTCGTTTATTTAAATCACACTGACACACACCAGTTGTTGGTAGACTTCGTGGCTTGGTGGTAAACGCGTTCAGTTTTCCGCCTAACTTAACTTTGGAGGGAGTTCGAGTCATGTGTAAACCTTATTTTCTTTTCACATACCGTAAACATATATTTAAAAAATAAATCATTTATCAGTATGTTATTCAATAAAATAAAGAAAGCAAATGTGTAAAAGATTATATTAACAATACAATTTTTCATGGACTTTTTGAATTGAAAAATGCCTTTTTAGCTCATCTGAGCCGAATGCTCAAGTGAGTTTTTCTGATCAAAGAGTTCCGACGTCTGTCTGTCTTCTGTAAGCTTTTCACATTTTCGACTTTTTCTGAAGATCAACTGGGTCCATTTCAACCAAACTTGCCATAAAGTATTCTTGGGTGAAGGGGATTAATTCAAGTTTCTTCACATGAAGTGTCGCGCCCTCTTTCTAGGGGTAATAATTAAGAATTCGTGAGAATTTGTTGGCATTTTTAAAAAATCTTCTCAAGAACCACTGGATAAGAAAAGATGAAACTTATGTGAAAGCTTTATTACATATTCTAGATTCACATTTGTTCATATCATATCCCAGGGGTAGAGCTGGGCCACAAAAGGGGGTAAAAATTTTACATAGGAATATGTAAGAAATGGTTCAAAATGACTTTATAAGAAATGTCTTTAAAATCTTTTTCTAGAGAACAGCAAGGCAATGATTAGTCATAGTATCCTCAGGTAGTGTAGATTCAAGTTTGTTCCAATCATGACCTCTGGGGGTAGGGCAGGGTCACAACAGAGGGGATCAAAGTTTTTTTTATCTCTAAAAATCTTCTTCTCAACAACAGCTAAGCCATTTTTAGACATATTAATAGCGATTCTCTGTAACCACTTAAACTTCTTTGCCACGCATGGTCACTGATTTTGATGAAACATTGCCCATTTTTACAACCTGACACCAGAAACATATATCAAATAAAATTTCGTTGCTATGTGTATTGGTTGCCATGGTAACACCCAGAAAAGTTGAAAAAAAGAGATTTTCAGCTACTTTGAATCTTTATTAAACCTTAATAAAGACTAAGAAAAACAAACAAACCATTCTCCCAAAAACATGACACCTTGTTGCCACTTATGCTATAAAGAAACTATTTAGAATTTATCTGTAAGCAAGTGGTAACCATGGGTACATTTGAAATACATTTTAGACGCTGAAAAATGCTGAAAAAAGCTCAATATTTACAACAGCTAAGCCATTATTAGTCGTATTAATACAGAAGTATTCTCAGGTAGTGTAGATTCAAGTTTGTTCAAATCATGACCACGGGGGTAGGGCGGGGCTACAACAGTTGGTCAAGGACTACATAGGAATATATAGGTGTAATGGTTAAGAGGCATTTGGGTAAAACGCATTGAAGACTTCAAATAGTGGAATGACCTGACAACCCTTGGAATGGACTAGCCTAAGGGTATATAAGGCAAAGCTTTGGAAAGTCAGGCATTCAGAAGGTAGCTGTAGAAGTTGGATGGTGAATCAGTAATAAAGAAGCTAAGGTATTCCATCCTAATAGCAAAAGATTCAATAGAATTGAATATATAACAGATGGTAGTTGTTGAATTCTAAATCTGTTTGGATATAATTCCCATTTATTACTATTAGCATGTAAGGATGGGATGTGTCCTAATTTATGACCTTGAATTTTTGTAAAAGATATCTCCATCTGTTTTCAATAAATAAAAACAATCAATTTGAAGAAACTTATCTCGTAAAAAAAATCGTTTTCAGTTGTCATTCTTTTTCTTATGTGTTTTAGTGCTTTTTCCCACAACAGTATTGGTATTATTTGAATTTTTATTTAAAAAAAATTTGCTCCATAGACTTCAATGCAATCTTTGTCAAGTATTTACCGCTTATTGAATTACATTTTTGAAACTTTTTCTTAGTAAATCCTTTTATTACTGTAAAATGCTTTATATTAATATCAGAGCATTATGTACGAGACTCGTATGTGATGGACATTTAAGGATAGAGGATGAAGAACCTTTAGGGAAAGAGCAAAATAAAAGGATAAGAGTTATAAACACCAGTGGCCAGTATCCTAAGGAATTGGTGTTAAGCTCCGAGTGTAGTAAATCTGAAGAAGACTGAGTCAACTGGTTCTTTTCTATCCATAAGAACCTGGGGGAGAAACACGGTGCAAGCAATACCTTAACCAGTCCCTATATCTAGATAAGAGAAAATTTAAGTACTGTGTGATTTACCCTCAGACAGAGCTGTCCTTATAATAATTCCAATCAATGACTCAGACAGAGTAAATGGAAAAAATATATATCCCTTGTAAGAACCTGATCATATGGTTCATACCATTACATAAGAAATATCTTTAAATCTTCTCAAGAACAACTAAGCAATATTAGTCATATTTATACAGAAGCAACCTTACGTATTGGTATTGTAGAATCAAGTTTATTCAAATTATGACCCCCAGGGGTTGGGGGCATAACAGAGGGTGAAAGTTTTGCATTAGAATATATAGGAATCATCTTGAAAAAAATCTTTTACTCAAGAACAGCAAAGTCATCATTAGTCATATTATTAAAAAATCATCCTCAGGTAGTGAAGATTCAAATTTGTTCAAATTTACGGTGGGTAGGGTGGGGCCACAATGAGCAATCAGAGTTTAAAAAAGGAATGTATAGGAAAAAAGATCGTTTAAATTCTTCTGTTTAAGAACAGCTTGTATGCCTCCATTGTTTATATTTAAGCAATGTTGTATAAGCGTTATTCAGGTTTCGAATAGATAAATAAATTTCCTTATTAACATATCATGAGACAATATTGAAATCGTTTGTAAGATTAATTTTTACGATTCTATTAAATTCAGTCCTCCAAGTGATAAATCATTTTTTATCCAATGGAAGAGATTCCTCTCATTATATGTCAGTTTAAAATAATTTCAATGTTGTCAATAACAAAATCAAATTTTAATTACCAAACCTTAACTTGATTCGATGACTTCATAAAAAAAACCCCATATAACAAGGGTACGAATTGGGAGTTAATAAAGGTTCTAACCCCTTTCTTTACTGCCCATGGTAGTTAGTCCTCCCCATAGTAAGTTACATGAAGAATATATGAGACACGGGATGCTAACGTCTCACTGAGACTGACCCCACCTCTAATATTTTCATGGGTCTCTGCTGGCACAACTTTCAATTTGTAAAATTCAGTTGGATTTCATAGAGTAATTACTGTTCATTACCTTTACTTTCATAACTTTCGGTACAGGACACATTATTTTTCTTTATTCTTATTATTGAAATTTACCTTTAAAGTTAAGGTGAAACTGTAATTCGTTTCTCATTTCCTGAACTTCCTGTTGAATTCTGCATAGAAGCTCTTCTTTATTGGATCCTTCAAGGTCAAATGTTTCAATTTCACTCACAATGACGTCAGTTTCACCCTCGCTTATTTCACTTAAAGCCTTAAAAAGAATTAAACAAAAGAAAAAAAAAACGTACAATTGCAATACTGAGACATATTTGAAATACTCCCAATAAACAATATGGTATACTTAAATGATGATATAAAATATTTTCCATGTTTTCTGGTTGGATTTTAGATTTATTAAGGGACCTGATTTTTAAAACTATTTTTAAAAGAGCGAAAATAGCTAGACGGCTGTAAGATTCACCATTGTAAAGATGGATCTTAAAATTGGTTGTTTTTTTTCAGCCAATCAGGATAGTTGATTCTCTGTTGCTTTAACAAATATGGGGGGGGGGTGGTTATACTTTTTGTAAAGGGAGTTTTTACACAAGTTTGCAATTGCACACTTTGGAAAAAAAAAATCGTTTCTTTCACGCAGTGAGAATGGTAATTAATAACAGTATTTCACTGTTGAATATGTAATAATCAATATTTCCTCTTTATACAATAATTAGATATAGTGCCATTTTTTTATCATTAGAGACTACGTCGTCAGATTTTTGCTTCTTTTTTAGGGGAGAAATATCTGAATGTTCACCATCTGACAGTAGTTGATGACAACATGCTTCTCCCAATGTAATTTTTTTTTACAAAATTTGAAGCATCTTTACTCAAATGGAAAGAAAATGAACCATCTGTCGTCAACGACGCCCGAAGGAATCATTACTTAAATATCTGATTTGAATTGAATCCATGCAACATATGGGATTCAATCAATATTGTTATGATTAGAAGATGGTTTCCATGTAGATGATCTTAAGATACTTTTTTGTACAAAAGCATCGTATATATATATATATATGTGTGTGTGTGTGAGGGTGTGTGCGTTTGTAAACACCTTCAACTCAGCTCAGGTACTTATTGACACATCAATCAACTCACTACAGTTTTTCAAGTCACTACAGTAATCACTGTAGTGAGTTGCCGTTTTACGAAAAATGGGTAGTTCTCGATTATTTATGCCCAAAAAATCGAGAAAAAAAGTTGGTGTCATTTGACGGTTTACACCCGTATTTTCACACACCGACTTATGATCAAAAAATGGCCCTTACACACTTTACTCGGTTTTGATTCTAGCGCATGCGCAATGCAGACTAATACTATGGCCGACTTCCGGTGTGTAATGATCTCGATTTTTCTACAAAGCAACAAATGATCTCATCAGGTAAGTTAATTTTCTGTTGATTTTACCGTGAATTAAAGCGTTAATTACAAAACATCACATCGTTTCCATATACAAAGATATTAATCAATCACTCGATAAACATAGAGTATTTAGATTTCGTTGTTTATATGCCCTTGAAAAATTTATGTTCAAATCCCTTAGTTATAATCCAAAAATAAAACTTTAAGGTTAAAGAATTATTTAAATATATTTCCATATAACTTTAAATCCACTACATGGCCCAATCCATTTGTTAAGCATAATTTGCAGTCGTCATCGAGTCTAAGTTCGAATTTTCTCGAATTATTCATAATGTTGACATGTTTCTATTTCATGCACTCGTATCAATTAATTATGTTCAACTTATATAAAAAATTATACTTCATGTAATATATCAAACGTATCTGGTTCTTTGTTCTAGTTATGAACTGAACTGGAATTATCTCTATCCTTTATAGTCCAACATATTGCCATCAACACATCTTCAGTTCAGAAGTTAAATAAATTATTTTATGAAGTTAGAAATTATTTATCTTATTTATCTTTGTCCAAGACATGCACTTCATTTGTAATTTATTCTTTATTTAAAAAAAAAACTGCTTCAAATATGTATGATTACAAAAGTATTTAACAGTACGTTCTCACCATATAAGAATCACACTTTTCGATTTTAAATGTTTCTCGACTGATTTTACAGAATTTCAAATGAACAAATTCATTTAAATATTTTCTAATACAATGTCCCTGATGTATGTCACAATGGAACACCTGCACATGTATTGTATAAAAAGAATTTAGAAAGATTAGATATCTTTATAATGGAGGTACGTGTATGATAAACTGTTTTGATCGGAAGGGGAAATGCATTTTTAAAATACGACGGCTAATGTAGACAAGATCAGAGTTCTCTTTCATCGAAAAATAAAGTATGCTCAGTTCTTCTTGTATGTGTCCTTAAAGCTGGTAGACTAATCAAAATATGAAAATCTGCAAGTTTTTGTACATGTATTCAGATTGGAAACTTTAATCATTAGTTGCTTACCTGTCCGTGTAAGAGAAATAATTACAGTCTCTAGACTTGATGAGGTGTGATTACGGTAATTGTAAAATGTGGTTTCCAAGACTTTACCTTATTTATTCATTAGAGTTAGTGATTCATGTTCACTATTGTTTCCTCAGAAGGAGATGATCCAGGAATTCTTCCGGGGGTGGGTGGGTGGGTCCATGCCCCCCCCCCCAAATCCAACTGAGAAATTTACCCAAAACTTAAAAAATAAATAGATAAATTTTAAAAAACGCAAACTTGTCCATCCCCCCCCCCCCCTGAGAAAAACTACAATTTGAAAACTCAAAAAAAAAAAAATAAATAAATAAATAAAAAATAAAATAAAAAAATATGAGTGGACTGGACTGGATCGGTGCATGAATTGCTAAACATTGTCCATCGTATATATAAAGAACTGCATAAATTTTACACTTAGTCTAATCAGGGACTATATATAGAAATATCTATTTGAACATTGTTAATGCCCCCCCCCCTCCCCCCTCTCCATTTACCATGTTTATTTATAGTAAAAAAAATTGTCTGATGAACCTATTCTACTCAAATTTACTCAAGTAATAAACATTTTTTTTTTCTGTGTAAAATTTCATTCCGAGTCATCACCGGAACGAATTACTACTTAATCGTAACTGTTGTGGCGTGATGCTTGATTGTGAACCTAATAACATAGAAATACTTATTGGATTATACCTTCGATGTCATTCTGTGATTTATTTTAGTATGTAAATACCCTTCATGGTAAGTATAGAGTAAGAAACGTTATATAAAGGTGTAAATGACAAGTTCAAAATATTTACATGATAAACAAATCAGAGGTCATTCGAGTCACGTATAAAATTATTAAGTCATGCATGTGATATCAGTCAAGTGCAGATATTTCACAAAGGTTTGGTTGTGCATATATTTTAAACCTTTCACTGTGGTGTTTGTGAGCGTGATACGTGATACAGCTGTGATACCAACACGTAAAAGAAGATAGGCTAAGTGAGACTCTTGTAAATTCACATACACACACAAAAGATGTAAAGGTTGCTCCACACCTCTTCAAATTAAGGCTTTGCCACACTACAGCATGTACAAAGCTTAAAAAACTTGCATCGACGTACAGAAAGATTAACATACTCGCTGGCATATGCTGAAGGCTTGTGCCATGCACCATAATCATGATAATTGCACTGAAGTAAAAAAAATTTAAAATGGTCATTAAATCAACCATATTAGCACCAAAGTGTGCATTCAATTTTCCCTTGGCTCTGTTCATTGGAAAGATTTCGACATTATATATTTTAAAGGAAAGGTTTGTTTTGTTTGTATGTTGTTTAACGTCCCTCTCGAGAATTTTTCACTCATATGGAGACGCCACCACTTGCTGGTGGAGAGCTGCAAATTTTGTCCTATACTCGGCATTTATGGCCATTGAGCAGTGAGGGATCTTTTTTGTGCCAGCACCTACTGCGACATGGGACCTCGGTTTATACGGTCTCATCCGAAGGACTGGTCTCCACGTCCCACAGTGGGATTCGAACCCGCGACGTAAGAATCAACTCCTTACTCCGTGACTCTAGAGCAGACGCTCTGACCACTGCTCCACGCGGGCGACTTTAAAGGAAAGGAATTGTATAGTTTGATATGTGCACACCCTAGATTTTGGAAATGTTAATGCTCTACTTTTATTGTTTTCATTACTTTCATTTTCAGATGTTTATTTTTTGCGAATGTGTGCATTTGGCCGGAAAACAATCTGACATTCCACCTTGAGATGTTATTTGAGAGTTGTTCCATCCTTAAATGAAAGAAAGGATTTAAAACAGTGTGAGAAAAGGTTAACATTGTCGCCTATGGGAAATGTATTGGTGGACTGTATACCCCATATATATTGAGTACGTCTATTGGTAAGCATGCTAAGAGAAATTCTACTTGTTAAAAAAATTGTACTTTCAGGCTGAGTTGAAGTTTGTAATTTAATAATATCATCATTTCCAATTGTTGAAATCTATGAAATACACAACTTTTATTTTGCTTAATGTGCATATTTTAAAACAAATCGAGTCGCAATATAGTGTCCTTCCAAAATTTTGAGGTGAAATAGACATAGTGTATATAGACACAGTTAAGGCACGGAACCCATATATGAAATTTAGAAAAGATGTACGGGCTCCACAGACCCAAGATATGGACACAGAATCTGAGGTTGAAAGCAAGGTGTTCTTGTGCACAGAAACCAATGTGTAGGCAAGGAATACTTGTCCCAAGAAGACAGTTTCTAACTTACAAAATTTGAATGAGGCAGATTTGGTTCAAACTATATACATGTATTTTTAATCTCACGGCTTTTTACATAGCATGATCATAACTTCCTTTGTGCAAATCAGATTAGAAGGATTCATGATCCTGAGCTAATATAGCTTGTGTCTTTCTTACTTTATAAAAGATACATAACTAATATACATGTATATCACTTGGAATTGTACTTAGGTCAACTTGAATGATTTTGTCACTTTTGAACTAAAAGTCTAAGTAAGTAAGTCTAATATAGAAGCCATTTGAAATCTTTATCCTTGGATGTTTCAATGCAAGCTGACAGACATTGAAATAGTCTTTGTTGATCAATGATGATTTAACCTAAGTTAACAATCTCATTTCATTTTGTGTCATCACATGATAAAGAAAGTTATGATTTTATTAAATTCAAATTGAACAAACTTAGGCTGAAAAAAAACAACAACATGTATTTCCCATAACCCAGCTGACCTAATTTTACCTACCGACTCTACTACTTTTTATTCCAAATCGAGATTTTGAATCATACTTTTGTTCATAGTAAAGTTTTCTCATAGTGCAGTCCATAAAATGCATGTCTCATACACTGTAAAAACCTGTTTATCCAAGAGTTTTAAAGAGTACTCCTACTTTATATATATATATATATATATATGTATATATATATATATATATATATATATATATATATATATATATATATATATATATATATATATATAAATATAAATAAAGTATATATATATATATATATGTTTATTTGTTTATTCATATACATGTATGTTTATGTACATGTATATGATAGAAAAACAATGTACAGAATAATTAATTGATGCTTTCAAAATAAAAAGTGTTGCTTGTGTGACGCAGTGGTTAGAGTGTTTGCTCTAGAGTCGCGAAGTAAGGAGTTGATCCTTAGATTGCAGGTTCGAATCCCACTGTAGGATGTGAAGACCGGTCCTTCGGAAGAGACCATATAAACAGAGGTCCTATGTCGCAGTAGGTGCTGGCATGAAAAAGATCCCTCACTGAGAGCGGAGTATAGGTCTATTAATTTGCAGCCCTCCACCGACAAGTAGTGGCATCTCCATATGAGTGAAAATTTCTCGAAAGGGAATTAAACAACAAGTAAACAAAATTAACAGTAAAGTAAAAAAAAAAGTTATTCCCTACTTACCTAGCCTAATTTTTTTTAGCATATGTCACCAGAAACACATAATTTTTTTCATTTGGCCTAATTAAGTTAAATTACTATAGAATTGTGCATTGAATCATTTGATTCTTAATAAGAAACTACTATAAATTGTTAAAATGATAATGTAGATAAGTTCTATAAAAATGAATGTGGCACTCTCATACATGTATTAATTTCAAACGTTAAAAATTCTAAAACTAATCAAATTAATAATGTAAAGCATTGTAAAGTTTGTATTCAGTCTCTATTTGGCATCTACAGCAACATCAGGGGATTCTCCAAGATCCTAACCCAGATCTAGATGAATTAATTAAGGCACATGCAGATCTCATGACTCCATATTTGGTTATTTTTTGACATGGTCGGTTTCCCAAATCAGGGTCTCCAGATATGGAAAATGGCACAGGTTTCTGGTACAGGTTTTTCAGAATCCATGAGTTCATGTAGGGAACCTAGCACAACTTTCTGTGAAGGGTTTATTTGTAAAACTGTTGTGACAGAGATCGGGCTCGGGATGTCTTTATGCATTACGCCAGCCGGACTTTATCGTAATGTGATACGATAGGGCCCAAGGGTAGTCCGGGTATACATGGGTATAAATACGAGCGCTCTGCAGAAAGCTGGCAGTTGCCAGTTGGAGCGCAGTGTATACGGTTGTTGAAAGCACAATAGTGAGGTACGGCGGAGGTTAATAAGGCTTGTAATTAATACAGTATACGGTGTCTAGTATACTGGGTTTACATTATTCAGGTTAATAAAGTTGTAATTACTTTTCCTCGAATTTTATTAAGGTCTGTCTGTGTACAGGACAGAGACCTCGAAGATCCGTACCTGTCCTGGTACTGATACATGCAGGACACAGACCTGTCTGAGTACAGGACCTATCCCGGATTTGAGACCCGTACCTGTCCTGGTACTGATACATATAGGATACAGACCTGTGCGAGACCTATACCAATAATTGTTTAAAGATAGTTGTATACTTTATGTTAAGGATAGGAAATCCTAATATTATTTATATCTGTATATATTGACTCGTTTATTTTTCACATCCTTTGTCACTTATCATTTTTAATCATTTGTTTAATTAATTGTCTTGATTAAGGATCTACCCAGATTCACGGACCCAAACACGTTACACTGTGTTATGTTATATTTCAGTCATTATCCCATGCCTGTTCTTGCCTTGACCACTTTTTCGCATGGCTTTCTATACATATTTTACATATATAGGAAGAGAAATGCTAGTCTGTTACAGGTTTATGGAAGCTAAATTTGTGCCTGTGTTTAAACCACCCAGACAGTTTCATATGGGAGTAAACCCCCCCCCCCCCCCCTTATGAACATACAGCTAATTCTCATACCTCCTGTTGTTTACAGTTACATGTATGTAGCGAATAAATTCAATTAATGTGTCAATTTATATTATTTATTAATTCAAAGCTAAGTTGAATATATTTTTACATAAGGATTCAATATGTACACAAAAATTCACAAACGAGGTCGGAATCGGTATTCAGTCAAGTTCAAGTTCAAAGTGAAAGTAGTGTACTCAATGTACAGGCCGGCAGGGTCTTGCAGTATGTAAGTGACATGCATGTGTCATTTTATGAAGGGGTATAAATGAAAACTATTTTCATGGAACAGGATTACATGAATGAGGACATGTACATTCTTTGGAAGCAGTCAGTCAACTTATTCAAGTGTGTGTGAACATGCACACTAACATTTTTCATATTTTATTGATAGCATGATCGATACATGTATTAATTTTGTCTAATGTATTATTTGTCAGCATGGTCAGTAAAACATGCTTTTTAACTGTATTATTTATTTAACTAAAAAATGTTGGGACTTAAATCAGTGCAAGATGAAGCAAATTCATAATTTATGATTGTTTTCAAATAATGAACATAAATGGAACGTGGAACGTTTGTATGTGTGTAATGTCTGTCTGTGAATGTTTTAGGATGGATGTTTTGTGATACTGAAGTATTACATCGATTTTTTTAGGTTCATGGTGATACAGGAAAACTTCAAGGTTCCTGCAGATGGTGTTTAAAACTATTGGCCAGTGAACACAAACCCATTTAATTATATTTTGAATCTTCACCAGGAGAAAAAAGATGGCAGTACTTCTAATGTGTAAGTAGAATTGTTTTAAAAAGCTTCTTTTTTTGTTTTGGGGTGGGATGAATGATTAAAAAAATACATCATGTACATAAGCGTTGAAATCCCTTTAATACAGGGCGTTTCAACAAACATGTCTTTCTTTTACTACTTCACATGAGTCCGTCAAAAAAAGGAAAGATCAGTATTTTGTAACGATTTATCTAAAAATAAACATTACAATGCAGTCTTTGCCAAATCTTTTTTTCAGTACATGCCCTTCGGGCAGGTTTAACCACTTATTACGCTAGCCCGAACAAATATTCACATGCCCAGAATTTTATCAAGTAATTTTATTCTTATTTGCCTTTCATGGCAAGGAAATGATCCGAAATCCATTTCTATCGATCTATTGTCTAGCCATTAATATTGTTTTCAACCTGTACACTTTTTGTGTTTCTTTTGCAAAAGAGTTCCCTGGAAATCGTGGTAGAATAAACTATCGTTAAAATTTTATTTGGTGCTCCACTTCAGATGAAAAATCATACTTTTAAGTACATTTAATGTTATTGGTATTACTTAATTTGATAATACGGAGGCTTAGGCCTCAGAATTCACATGCCCTTTGGGCTTGTAAGTATGCAATTTCCACATGCCCCCTTCCAATTTTACCAGGTCCCGGGCTTCGGACTCCCGGGATTTGTCGAAGACTGATTACAATGTTCTTTTTATAGTTTTTTGAAAGTACATGAAGTGTTTTATTCCAAAGATTTTTAGCTCACCTGAGCCAAAGGCTCAAGTGAGCTTTTCTGATCAAAATTTGTCCGTTGTCTGTCGTTGTTGTTGTAAACTTTTCACATTTTCATCTTCTTCTCAAGAACCACTGGGCCAATTTCAACCAAACTTGGCACAAAGTATCCTTGGGTAAAGGGGATTCAAGTTTGTTCAAATGAAGGGCCACGCCTTCTTCCAAGGGGAGATAATTAAGAATTTGTGAAAAATTAATGGCATCATTAAAAAATCTTCTTCTCAAGAACCACTGTGCTTGAAAATATGAAACTTATGTGGAAGCATCCTCAGGTAGTGTAGATTCAAGTTTGTTCAAATCATGACCCCTGGGGGTCGGGTGGGGCCACAATGGGCGATCAAAGTTTTACATAGGAATATATAGGAATAATCTTTAAAAATCTTCTTCTCAAGAACAGCAAAGCCATGATTGGTCATATTTATATGGTAGCCTCCTCAGATAGTGTAGATTCAAGTTTGTTCAAATCATGACCCCCGGGGGTCGGGTGGGGCCACAATGGGCGATCAAAGTTTTACATAGGAATACATAGGTTAAATCTTTAAAAATCTTCTACTCAAGAACAGCAAAGTCATGTTTGGTCATATTTAAATGGAAGCATCCTCAGATAATGTAGATTCAAATTTGTTCAATTCATGACCCCCCCCCCCCCCCAACCAATTTTTTATTTAAACTTTTCAACCTTTCAAGACTGAACTGAATTCTGCTTTTTCCTAGCCACAGGTGCTCAGGTGAGCAATATGGCCCCTGGGCCTCTTGTTTAAAATCTCGTGATCATGCAGGAAGTATGAACATATTCCTGATCTCGTTCATTATACTCAAAACGTTTGACATCTTTATGTATCATACCCTGTACAAAATGTTCCACCTGGAAAAAGGCATAATCAAGACAATTCTCAGTAAAATTCCAGGCGTAAAACTTACTATAAATGTTTAAGCAATATAAGCAGAAACCAAGTGTTAACCAAGCGGAGACTAGCTGGAAATTTGAGGCGAAAATGTAATTAGTTCCGCCTGGAAATTGACATTCTGCCTGCATGGAAATTGAAATTCCACCTACTAGAATTGAAATAACAGGATTCCGCCTGAATATAGATTCCATTTAAACTGTCCAAAATATTTCTTTTTATAATTTCCAGCTATTTTCCCACTGAACTAAATTCAGCCTAGAATTTGATGACTGGAATCTGTTAAATTTAGGCGGAATCTCTGAGAGCCTGGAATTTGTGGATTCGGTGGAATACCCTTGGTGTCCAACGAAATTCTGGGCGGAATCCACCTTAATTGTTTGTACAGGACTAAATCATAATCACTAAAATGTTTAATTTCACATCAGTCAGTCGTAAAATTAAGTGCCAACTTGACTCAGAATTACCTTACTACCTGCTAAGATGCTAGAAAGCTAAAAATACATGCAGGGTTTTCTAGTAAATGTTGTTGAAAATCGTAATTTATTCATTTTGTTTTCCAGAAATTTTTATTGGTCTGTTGGGACTTACTAGCGACAGATTTTATTAGTCCAAATGAAAATGTATTAGTCTGACCAGACTAACGGACTAACATTAGTGTTGAACCCTGACATTAAAATATCTCAGGCATATATTTAGTCAGGCCATGCTTACACTGTATAAAACATGATGCTGGAAAGTTGAATTGAAAATTTAAGTCTCCTTTATCAGTCTCTAACAAAAACTTTTAACTAAATCAGTAGAATTAATTTAAAATTCATAGTCTTTCCGAAATGTTTAGACTTTATATTTTGCAATAATTACTTAAGTGTTCATTATTGATATCCCTTATCTTAATTCCTGAAACTGACAAATCACAGTAGCCTAGACGGTAGTTGTTGTCGGTACTCGCAGTATAATCAATAGGTCCCTGTTCAATTCTTTTTTCCTAGCACCTTGTCAATCCAAGATGTTTGAAATAGGTAATGAGATTGTTCAATTACTAAGCTGTGACTCTATAAGTGAAAGATGCATGTATTTTAAATGAAACCTTAAAAATCAAGGTCTCATTTCATGGTAGGCAAAATAAAAAAAAACCCTCCAGTGTTAAGCTACTAGTATACATTGTAGTGAAACCAAATATCGAAATTTTATGATATGGTGTCATATGTTTTTTTTTTTTCAACCACAAATTAAATCCCCTCAAATCATGAAAATTTAAACCAGTGAAAATAACCAATTTTGCATTAATTGAGAAACTTGCATGTATTTGAAAGCTTCCTGAAATACCAGTAGTGTAGATTCAAGTTTGTTCAATTCATGGACCCTAGGGGTAGCGTAGGGCCACAGAAGAGGATCAAAGTTTACATGGAATGACAGAAACATGATTTAAATTAGTCATATTTATTATGTCCATGTCCTTACCAAATTTCTGTTGCACTTTTCTCAGCAACTACTCATCGAAGGTGCTTAATATTTTAGCACGCTCTCTGTTTAGGCATGCCATATGGTAGCCTAGGATGTATTTTTGTAGGAATCCCATGTTAACTTCCTGTTTATCCCTCCATCTGTCCGTACTAAATTTCCATCACAGTTTTCTCAACAACTGTTAAGGATGATGCTTGAAAGTTTAGCACACTTTTAAATTGTTTAGGCATGCCATATGGTGGGATTCATTTTTGTATGAATTTGACGTCAACTTCCTGTTTACCCCTGTGCTTGTCCGTACCAAATTCAAATCAGTGCGGGAATTATAATTACTAGTGAGCATTGGCTCGATCACAGACTTCTTGTTTTCTATTTGATAGGAATGTCTTTTACTTTAATTAGCTAAAATACCTATTTAGTTCTTCACAAATATTCTAAGAATGTTCTTTTTTTATAATATGTGTAACCATTACTGTTTCTTGAGTCAAGATTTTTTTTAATTTATTTTATTGGTATTTATTTCTACTAGAAGCAGCTACTAGGGAAGATTTAATGAAGGAAGATGAGGAAGTGGAGAAAAAACTGAAGAACAAGGAGGACAAGGTGAAGAAAGGACAAGGTTATTACATTATGTATCTCACAGTATTTTTACAAAGCCCTCTCAAATCCTGATTTATGTAGTTTTTTTGTAAAACTTAAGAATGAATTCTTATTTAGTTCTTGATCCTTAAATATAAATGAAGAAGGTAACAATTTTTACAGGGCAAAGTGACTTGCAGTGTGTGTCATGTAACATTATTACAACATCTATATCATGGGTCCATAATTTTGAGTAAGTCATTCATCAACCACTTTATCTGTACTGGAAACCATTTCTGAGAGGGATGAAGTGATGGAAGATAATGAGCCAGAGGGTGGAACGGAAGAGAAAGGGAAAGAAATAAAGAAAAAGGCAGAAAGAAAAAGGACTAGGTAATTATTATCACAATACCCCCCCCCCCCTTCCCCATCAATGTATTTCTTCAAGTCAACAAAATTACCCTGTACTTATCTTATTCTTTCATAAATATTTTGAGAAAAAATATCAAAACATCAACTTTGACTGGATGTAGTGACTTGCATGTGTGTAATTAGCTATGGTCGATACAATGACCTTGTCAGCAAAAACAATCTTTCATTACATGTAAGTCGAATGCGGACTGATGTTTTTAATACTAATTGTTTGGCCATTATTTACACATTGAATTGTCTGTTTACACATTGAATTGTCTACAGACTTTTCCGTTTTCCGGATCATGACAAGGAGCACACATCAAATGTGAATGATTGGCAGAGGATGTTTACTCCTATATTGCACCTGATCCCACCTCTGATGTTTTTAGTGGTCCGTGTTTGCTCCTGATTTGTATTTTTTCTATGGACTCTTGAGCTTCGTTATCTCCATAATTATATGATTGTACAGTGAAAACTGTCTAATCTGACACCTGTGCAATCCGTCACACTGTAAATTCCAAGGTTAAATTTCATTCCCATTTTACTTTTTTCTATGTTTTTTTACACTGATCAATACGACGCCCTATCTATTCCGACAAAAAATTTGTCTCCCAGTGCATGTCGGATTACACAGGTTTCACTGTATGATTAAGTGGTATTTGAGTACTCTTTACTGGAACCCAGGAACATCTTTATTTTTTTTTACTTTGTGTCATCTAGTTTAAGATAATGAGATTGGACTGTATATAGGTAATTCATCATGAAAAATGTTACATGTTACATGACTATGCCCTGACTTTACCTTAGGCTGAAAATGTCAATCAAGACACATTTCTAGTCTTCTTTGCAAGTACTTGTAAATCTGTTCAGTCATGTTTTTTTTTCTTTTGTGTGAATCAAGCTGCACACTTTAAAACTTTGAGTCATAACCTTGTTAATTGATGCCTGTTATAGGGGAAACGTTATTTCTTGACCAGGCTTTAATAGCAGCAAGAAATATAGGTGAATTTGAGGTCATGGAAATATTTTAGGTAATAACGAAAGTATGTATTTCACATTCTAGTACCAAAACGTTTCTGTCAAAGTCAAGCAGGTACATGAAAACGAATAAGTTACTAACCACTCTTTTCTCAGATAAATCACTAAAAAGGTTCAGTATGCCAAGATTTTTCATGAATCTGGTAAAATCCGAAACTTGACAAATTGAGTTTTTGTCAGTTTAGTAGTTTATCGAATTGGATTTTTTGTTTACAGAACTTGCAATAGAAGAAAAAGTTGAGGAAATGAAGAGGAAGAAATTGAAGATGAAAAGAAGAGCTCTGGGAGGAAAAAAGTGAGCATAGTGCAGTTATTTCTATCATTTTACATTTTATTGCTGCATTATCAGATGCTGTCTGAATCATAAACCTTATCTACTGATAAAGATGATGGGCAAACAAGGCAAGTAAATGCCTATTGTGTGACAAAAAAAGATGTAAAAAGTTAAATCTTAATCATGTCAAAATTTTCTTTGATACTTCATGTAACATTATTGTATACCTTATGTAAAATCTTTGCAATTTGCTACAATCTTATAACGATTAATATTATTGATCTATGAAATAGCAGATACACACCAAAAGAGGGCAAAAATGGTCATTTTTTCCTCCTATATCATACTTTACGATTAATATTATTGATCTATGAAATAGCAGATACACACCAAAAGAGGGCAAAAATGGTCATTTTTTCCTCCTATATCATACTTTTTAAATATGAGTAGGTCTTCACTCCATATTTTGGTAAGATTATACTCGAAGCATATTTAAAACTTTTCCTATTTCGTTTGACAAAAACATGGTGAAATGACCAACTCTTCTAAAAATAGACTTTTATGTCACAACTAGTGATGGGAAATGGTAAGAATTTCATAATCGATGATCAGGCTACTGTAACTAACTAATTATCAATTATAATCGGACATTTACAAAGTCTGTCAATTTTAGTTTATTAAATGGTAAGAATGGTTGAATAACTACTTTCTGTGGTGGTCCAGCTGTAGTTGGAATAACTGTGTCTCGGAACAACCCCTAGCCCTTAGGACAATATCATTTTAACGACAGAATGTTCTATCTAGTCAAGCTGGTTCTACGCTCATTTTGTAGAATCCAAAGTACGTCCATACCCAGGAATGAGCGTTGTTACCCGGGTATGAATACAATGTCTCTTTGTCTGTGCCATTACGATATGCATATAAGTTAATAGAAAAGTTGCGGCTGGAATATTTGGCTTAAAAACTATTACGCTTTTAAAATAAAATAAATAACCCGATTAATCAGAATAAAAAATTTGTAATCGAGTGCTTGGATTATGCCAGCAATCGACTGATTTTCGATTATAATCGATGATTGGAACACCACTAGTCACAACAACATTCATATCATGGTTTGACATTAACTTTTATGAGTACTAGATCAGTCGTGCTACTTCCCATAATTTTTACTAGCTCTGACCATAAATTCACTAGCCCTGACCAAACTTGAAAATTTTCTATTTATAACCTCCTATTATAATGGGAAAAAAGTTTTGAAACCATACTACAGTGTATCTCTCGCATGTGTTCATGTATACATTTTGACAGACTGTTGAGCCCATAGGTAGCAGCCCAATGAGTGAACTTGCGAATGTTATAAGCTTTAAAGAACATTAATTCAAGGAACTTAAATAAAATTATTACCATAAATATACATGTAAATAAATTAAAAACTATAATATTCAATGAATATTTATACCAAATGATACTGAACAAAGCTGAGGTTTCGATTGTGACTTGTCTATTACAGCCAGTCTAAAAAAAAATAGCAATTGTGTCATGCAGGAAAGTTTTCTTTTTCAGAGCAATGGCTGTGTTTGCAATCTGAAAATTAAGAAAATTTCTTTAAAAAGTTTTTAGTCAGAGCATTTATTTGAAAGACTGAAATGAGAGTTAACATTTATTTCATCCACACAACCAGTCGGGCAAGTTATTGAACATTTAACATGATGGACCATGCATTTACTAGACTGGGTCAGTCGGACGTGCCTTAGTGTCAAACCCTGCATATCTTTCAGAAATATATTTGAAATCCATTTAGTCAAGAGCCACATTTTTAAACGTGATTTACATATGTAAATGCCCATTTTTGTCATGAGCTACATGTATGTAGTTTAGTGGTTAGCATGTTAGTCTGTTAGAAAAAAAAACTGATATTCAGGATTTAATTTCATTGCTTGGGTTTCAACCCCTAGAATACCACTTTTTTTTTTTTTATCATAGAATGATTTTTGCTTAAAGAATTTTCCACAGAAAAGTTTTGTTTGTAATATAATGTTATACCTTTCAATAAGAAGAACTTTACTCTAAATACTAAACTCAGTATTTGAATATGACTTTTATACATTTGAAGCTATAGGCTTTTTGCATGCCTTGTTCACCCATCTCCTTATGCACATTATGAAACATGTAAAACTAATTATTACATATTACTGTTACTTGGTAGACTTTTAGTGTAATTAAAATTAGATCTTTCATTTTACTCCATTTATTAATATATGTTACTAATGAGAGACAGATAAATATACAGGAAAAGCTAATTAAAATGAATCTAATTTGTGTAGCTTGTTGAATGTTTTCATTTATAATATTCTTATAAGTGACTTGCTTGGATACATGTTTTCATTTTGAAAAAAATCCTTATTTGTCTAGATGCATGTATTCTGTTGTGAGTACTTATATAGTCCTAACTATAAAGATTCCAACCTTTTGATATGTAAATTATAGAACAAGATGAGATTAAAGTTTGGCACTTTAAACTGGAAAGCTTGATAGGAAACCAAAGGCAAGGACAAAAGAAAAGGATAACCCAAAATTTCAGAAAGTGTTTGTTAAGTTGTGAATATACTTTTCACTGTGTATTCTTTTTAGTGCCTTCGTCGGAAAGCAATGTCCGCTAATTCAAGTACAACGCTAAATGTCTTGCACAAATACATATAAAGAAGAACATTAACAAATGCTGTAAATCAAATCTCCGCTAACTTGCTCAATAATCAACTTCTGCCAAATATCGTACATGCTAAATATTATACATTTACAGTAATTCAAAAGGCTAACAAGTTCTAAAGGATAATCATTTAATACAAATCAAATACAGAAAATGTTAACTAGCTGTTTTAGGAATTTTAATTTTAAATTTATTCTTGTCCTTTTGCTTTTAAAGAAGTGTTGTGTCTTAATTAAGATTGGAAACTTGATCACTGATATATTTTTATTTCATTTTTATGTAAAAGCTTTAATGGTTCTATTATATAATTATGTATTTCAGTTCCATTTGTAAGATGTGTGGACAAAAGAAAAACAGCCATAGAGTGCCAATGTGGAGTGGAATAAGTCAGTATGACTTAAACATGGTCAATTGAAGTGTTTGAATGCCCCTCCAGAAAGCAGAACAATCTTTGAATTTGCAGGAAAGAGTATAAAATTTGCTGTTAAAATATCATAACAGCTAGACAAAGATTAAATAACAACTACATGTACATCTAAAGAATTCTTTTGTCATAATAGTGATTCATGTGCTAGTACATGTGACAAGTGCTATAACGACCTTATATAAGTGTGTTTCAGGAGCATGTTGACTCTATTGTAAATGTATTGACTCCTTATATGACCTCATTTATATATAACATTATATGAATGGTAGTGTAGTGACTTGAAATGTGTGTTAGTAGTATAGCTCGTTATGTGTGGTAATTTTGTTATTTGTTTTACATGTATGATAGTACATATAGTATGGTGACTCATGTGTTGGGAATTAATGTATAATTTTATGTGTGTTACTGGTATAACTCATTATGTGTGTAAATATTGTTTTTTGTAATATATATTAGTAGTGTAGTGACTCGACATGTGTGTAAGTAGTGTAGTGACTCGACATGTGTGTTATGAGTGTAGCTTATGATGTGTGGTTATTTTGTGTATGTATGTAGTATGGTGACTCATGTGTTAGGAATGTATAATTTTATGTATGTTACTGATATGCCTCATCGTGTGATTTAAAATGGTTATTTGTAATGTATATATTAGTAGTAAAGTGACTCGACATGTGTGTTAGTAGTGTAGTGACTCAACATGTGTGTTAGTAGTGTAGCTTATTATGTGTGGTAATTTTGTTATTTGTTATGTGAGTTGTACATGTAGTATGGTGACTCATGTGTTGGGAATGTATAATTTTATGTGTGTTACTTGTATAACTCATTGTGTGTGTTTTAATATAGTTATTTGTAGTGTATATATTAGTATTGTAGCGACTCCACAAGTATGTTAGTGTGTAGTGACATGACATGTGTGTTAGTAGTGTAGTGACTCGACATGTGTGTTTGAAGTGTAGCTTATTATATGTGGTATTTTTGTTATTTGTTATGGTTGTTGTATATGTAGTATGGCAACTCATGTGTTGGGAAAGTATATTTTAATTTGATGTGTGTTACTGGTATAGCTCATTGTGTGTTTTAATAATTTTTTTTGTAATGTATATTTTATTAGTGTAGTGACTCGACATGTGTGTTAGTAGTGTAGTGACTCGACATGTGTGTTAGTAGTGTAGTGACTCGACATCTGTGTTAGTAGTGTAGTGACTCGACATGTGTGTTAGTAGTGTAGCTTATTATGTGTGGTAATTTTGTTATTTGTTATGTGTGTTGTACATGTAGTATGGTGACTCGTGTTGGGAATGTATTATTATATTCTTGCTCCAAAAGATACTGTTTTACCCTTGTCTGTCTAGCTGTGTGTGTGTCTGTCTGACTGTCCATAACAAATTTTTGATCACAGTTTTCTCAGCAACTACTCATTGCAGATGCTTGAAATTTTAGCATACTCTTTGTTTAGGCTTGATGGGAATCATTTTCATACAAATCTGATGTCAACTTCCTGTTTATCCATGTGTTTGTCCATACCACACATAACACATTTTCGTCGCAGTTTTCTAAGCAACTACTTATTGCTTGAAATTTTAGCACACTCATTGCTGAGGCATGTCATATGGTGGGATTCATTTTTGTATGAATTTGATGCCAACTTCCTTTTTATCTGTGCGTCTGTCCGTACCATACATAACGAATTTTTTTTCGCAGTTTTTTCAGCAATTACTCAGAGCAGATGCTTGAAATTTTAGCACATTCTTTATTTTGGCATGCCATATCGTGGGATTTATTTTTGTACAAGTCTGATGTCAACTTCCTGTTTATCTGTGTGTCTGTCTATACCATATATAACAAATATTTGTTGCAGTTTCTCATCAACTACTTATTGCAGATGCATGAAAGTTTACACACTCTTTGTTTAGGCATGCCATATGATGGGATTCATTTCTGAATTTGATGTCAACTTCCTGTTTAACTGTGCGTCTGTCTGTATAATATGGAACAAATTTTTGTCAAAGTTTTCTCAGCAACAACTCATTGCAGATGCTTGAAATTTTAGCACACTCTTTGTTGACGCATAATTGTCATATGGTGGGATTCATTTTTGTATGAATCTGATGTCAACTTCCTGTTTATTCATACATCTGTCCATAGTTGAACTTGTGAATATACACATGATAGTGTATATTCAAATCACAGCGGAGGTATTACCAGTGAGCATTGGCTCACAGACTTCTTTTTTTATGTGTTACTGGTATAGCTCATCATGTCATTTAATGTTGTTATTTGTAATGTATATACATGTATTAGAAGTGTAGTGACTCGACATGTGTGTTAGTAGTGTAGTGACTCGACATGTGTGTTTGTAGTGTAGCTTTTTATGTGTGGTAATTTTGTTATTTGTTATGTGTGTTGTACATGTAGTATGTTGACTCATTACGTGTTGGGAATGTGTGATTTTATGTGTGTTATTGGTAAAGCTCCTCATGTGTTCTTATATTGTTATTTGTAATATACAGTGAAACTTGTCTTATTCGGATGTTGTGTACTCCAAAAACTTGACTTATACAATGTTAACTTTAAGTCACCTGCAGTAGACTCAATTGTTTTAAATGTTGTCTAATCCAGAATGTCGTCTAATCCAGCGAAATTCTCGACATGTGTGTAAGTAGTGTAGTGACTCGACATGTGTGTAAGTAGTGTAGTGACTCTACATGTGTGTTATGAGTGTAGCTTATGATGTGTGGTAATTTTGTTATTTGTTATGTGAGTTGTACATGTAGTATGGTGACTGGTGTGTCGGGATTGTATAATATTTAATGTGTTACTTGTATAACTCATTGCGCGATTTAAAACTGTTATTTGTAAGGTATATATTAGAAGTGTAGTGACTCGATATGTGTGTAAGTAGTGTAGTGACTCAACATGTGTGTAAGTAGTGTAGTGACTCGGCATGTGTTTTATGAGTGTAGCTTATGATGTGTGGAAATTTTGTTATTTGTTATGTGAGTTGTACATGTAGTATGGTGACTGTTGTGTCGGGATTGTAAAATTTTAAATGTGTTACTTGTATAACTCGTCGTGCGATTTAAAACTGTTATTTGTAAGATATATATTAGAAGTGTAGTGACTCGACATGTGTGTAAGTAGTGTAGTGACTAGACATGTGTGTTAGTAGTGTAGTGAATCAACATGTGTGTTAGTAGTGTAGCTTATTATGTGTGGTAATTTTGTTATTTGTTATGTGAGTTGTACATGTAGTATGGTGACTCGTGTGCTGGGAATGTATAATTTTATGTGTGTTACTTGTATTGCTCATCGTGTGATTTAAAATTGTTATTTGTAAGATATATATCAGTAGTGTAGTGACTCAACATGTGTGTAAGTAGTGTAGTGTCTTGACATGTGTGTAAGTAGTGTAGTTACTTGACATGTGTGTTAGTTCTGTAGTGACTCCACATGTGTGTTAGTAGTGTAGCTTATTATGTGTGGTACTTTTGTTATTTGTTATGTGAGTTGTACATGTAGTATGGTGACTCATTTGTTGGGAATGTATAATTTTATGTGTGTTACTGGTATAGCTCATTGTGTGTTTTAATATTGTTACATGTATTTGTAATACATATTTTGTATTGTTATTTTGATTTGCTTGTTGTACATGTAGCATGGGATTCATTTTGTGTTGGGAATGTAGAATTTTACCTGCGGTAGTGTACATGTAGCTCATTTTGTGTGCTAATATTGTTATTTTTATGTGTAATAGTCATGTAGTGACTCAATATGTGTGTAAGTAGTGTAGCTCATTATGTGTTTTCATGTTGAGTTAGTTTAGAAGAGTGTTGACTTACTGTGTAAGTTAGAGTAGCCTCTTGCTATGTGTGAGCAAAATATAAAAAGACACTTTTTTATGATGTGTATATAATTATTAAAACTTTGCAAAATATAATATTATATCAACCTCTATTGATAAACTTGCATGTGTTTGAATTTCTTATGTAATGTAAGCTACATGAATAGATCATATTTTGACTGAATTTTGAATGAGCATAATTTGTGATGATTTTTATTTTTGAAATAAACAGAAATTTAATTTTCTTTGTATATGTTTATTTTTTCGTTAGATTGCAGAATAAAACTACATAACTTTTGCAGTATTAAATATCTAGAAATGCTTTTCATGACCAGAACGGTGGATACTTATACAGTTAAAATATACCACTGAGGGAGTTAGCAAGATTCCAGTTCCCCAAGGCCAAGACTATTTCCTGAGGCGAAGCCGAGGGAAATAGTCCTGGTCGAGAGGAACTGAAATCTTGCTAACTCCCGCAATGATATACTTTTAACTGTTTTATTATACTGATAAAAACTGAAAATTTAGAGTTAGAGGATTCAGATAGCATGATTTCATAGCAGGGATTAGCTCACTAACTAACTAACACACGGGGATTAGTCCATTCACACATCATACCAATGTAAAAGTAAAATCTAGAGGATTACGGATAACCGGGAATTAGCTTTCGAAGCAGGGATTAGCTCACTTGACTAACGCACGGGGACTAATCCATTCATTACGATTTCTAGGGAATTAGTCACATCTAACGATCTAATGTTCTATAGGGAAAAAATCAGTAGAGATATGATAAAACTATATAACATGTTATTCTGCTTGGGAGAACGAGTTAAGGGGAAGATCAAATTGGGTAAGAATTATAGACCAATGCAAACTGATGTACAATGTATATAAAAGCAGATAAATGTTTGTCGGTGGTATGCTGTAAATTTTAAATGATAAAAGCTTGACTTCAACTGTAGGAAATTCTCGAATGGGACAAAAATACACACAATCAATCAATCAGCTGTAGGAAATATCCCTAGTAAAATATCATGGTAAAGTTAGATCAAAATAACGATAGTGGTTTTATAATGCACATTATTGTGAAACCTAAAAGACATCTTAAAAGAAACGGGGCGTATAAGGCGGGGACAATCACCCGCTCTGAGATAATAAATTTCTCAATCTTTAAAGTTCATGGAAAAGTTATATTTTTCTAAAATAAAGTTTTCAGGAATGGCATTTTCAACATATTTGATTCATTTATTTTATTAAATGGCATTGGTTGATGATTTGTTTTAAAGTTGTAAGTAAAGCATATTTAGTGGAAAACTGGTTTTTTGGA